TTTTTTTTTTCTGCGAAGACGCAAATTTGACTTCGTCATGGGAATTCCTGACGAACTTGGTAGACTGAGTAAAAACTACAGAAGAATCATTGGAATTGCATACTGTTATGCTACCTACTGCCGAGATTTGTTCCACAAAGTTCTTTTTGGCACTTCTTTTCATCTGTAGAATGATTCTAGTAGAGATGTTTCAAAATTTCAAAAGTTCTTGTTTGCATTCCAAATGCAATTAGTTGTACATACTGTACTGGAAATTTGGACAATTCATATAAATGTACCGCTCAAGTCAAATGTAAATGATTTTTTCATGGGGATGAGTAATATCAAAGTGAAGTCTCTAGCTATTTGTATATATCTGTTTTGGATTGTATATATTTTATTTATGGTTTCTTATGTAGTTTTTCTAGACAAAGAAAAAAGTTCTAGCATCTTCCACCTCATCGGGAGGCTTGCTCACCCAAACAGGTGATCCCACAAACCAACCAGCCTAATGAAAGGGAATGGGCTGGGTCGACTCACTGTGTAGTTGACCCGACCCATAAAAGCAAGATTAATTGGTCATGGGGGTCAAAACCTATTGATTGAATGGGTAGCATGGGTTGACCCAACCACCACATAACAACCCTTTTTTATATTTTGTTAGTCTTTTTCATTTCCGAAAAAGCGTGGTTGGTCATAACATGTATACACATCTATGCTTGGAAGAAGACTGAGGAATATCATATTTTGAAAGTGAAAATAGATGAAACTAAAATCATGATTCACTTGTAAACTTATTTAATTTGATGCATTGCTAATAACCTTAATATATAATCATGGTTCTTTTTAATCTTTTATCTCATCTTTTCTATAAGTATTGATACCGTCTATGATAATAGAAAATATTGGGTCGACCCGTACTATGTACCATAATCTTTAGATGAAATAAGTTGAACCTAAATTTGGGTTCAAGGCCAGGACCAGATCGACCCACTCCCATTCGTGTAGGCTGCGACCTATAATAGTGATAATAGTGAGATAGGAATGAAAGAAATTTTAATATTTTTAATAATATTATATAAGTATAAAAAAGAGGACACGCTGCACGCTTTTGGACAAGCAGGCGCCTAACCAAAAGCTCAAAAGGTGAAAGCTAGCTAAGAGCCAACCGCAGTGTCACGCTCCTCTCAAGCTCCAAAGGCACTGCTAGCTACGCGCACGACGACGTACGCGAGCAAATAAAGTAGGCGCCATCAGCCATGGCGGCACGCAACAAACACTCCGTGTGGACTACGGCATGCAGCTGGCTACGTCGCCAATTTCGTTCGATCAGCGCGATGGCAGCCAGAACAACAGCAGGAGCAGAAAGGCTCGTGCACCAGGGTCCATACACACACACACACAGCCCGGTCCCAAGCACAAATGCGAGCTTACCGTGCATGTCACGTGCCTCTGTCCTTTGGTGTACAATGATAATGCAGGGTAGTACGCTTTCGCAGTGCACGCTAGCTATATACGATTGTCGTGTTAGGCCGTGTTGGGTTCCAGGTAGATAGCAGCTATCTGCTAATAATAATCCTTTTTTTTATCCAATCAGATATGGATAGTAAACTATATAATCATTAGTTGGACCTCTAAATAGCAACAATCATAATCGTCGGACCAAATCAGATAATAACAGCTAATACGTGGACCCCACAACCCAATCTTCCCTAATCCCTTCCACGCCCTCCAGTTGGACGTCCGCGCGCACCTCCGCCTGCCGCGCCGCCGCCCGTGCCGTACTGCCGTGCCCCTCCATGCCTTGCATTGAGTCAACGCCGCCTGAATCGACCGGCGGTGGTTGCTTCTCCGAGATCGAGCTCTGCTCTCTCGCGCTAAGTCAAAGCTCGTCGGTGACCCCGTCGGCTCCCGGGGCTGACCGGAACAGAACGGGTGGCCAGTGGGCACATGTATCCGTATCAATTATCTACGTATCCAAACACCATTTCAGCTAATAGATAGATAATAAATTGTTATCCAGCTAATATTAGCTTATGTGCTGTTAGCTAGATTATTACTATCTGATAATGAATCCAAACATGACTTGAAGTGTTTTTCACCTGCGTCTATAGTTGTTCGTGCAGCCCGAGGCACGACAGCACGGCACGAAGCCCGTTTTTTAGCCCGACACGAGCACAGCCCGGGCCGGTGACGTGCGGGCCCGAGCTGGCCCGGCCCGAGGGAGCAGGCCCTGCCTGGGCCGCTGCTCAGGCCCGTGGGCTGGCACGGCACGGCCCGGCCTGAGTCGGTTGGCCCGGCAGCGGCCCGGCCTACCCCCTCCCCCTCCTCACTCATCCTCCCCTCCCCAAGGCGGCGCCGCAACCCAGCGTGGCCGGCCCACCTTCCCCCCCTCCCCCCCTCCGCATATAAAAGCGCATGGGCCGGCTCCATAGCGCAAGCTCGCCCTCGCCTGGCTCTCCCTCCGTCCCCTTTCCCACACGCGCAAGCTCGCCCTCGCCTGGCTCGCTCCTCCGTCCTTCCTTCTCCACTCCGCCGCAGAGGTGCCCCGCCGTGGGCTCGGGGCTCCTCACCTCCGCTCGCCGGTCGGGATCCAGATCCGACGATCGGCGTGCCGCCCGCCCCCTCTGTGGAGTGCCCCTATGGCCCTACCTCCTCTTGCTGGACACGGCCAGATCCTCCTCGGTGGCGTCCACCATCACCTCCCGCGAGCTGCCGCTGCCTCTTCCAGCCACGCGCGGCCACCGCCTCCAGCCAGATCCGCCTCGGGTGTGCTGCGTCGAGCGGGCGGCCTCCTCCATCCTCCACGGATCCGGCCTCCTCCTGGCTCCTGTCGCCGGATCCGGCGGTCGCCGCTAGCTCGCCACCTCCCGCGACTCAAGCAGCTCGCGCCGACGGCCTCCCCTCCCCCGCCTCGCTCTCTTTCTTTCTCTTGGGCTGTGGTTGCGGGCTTCGGGATGGCCCAGTCCGCACGGCCGCACTCGCACCCCGCTTCTCCCCACGCGCGACGCGGGAGATGGGCCTCTTGCCCTTCGTGCCACCCGCCGCCGCCGCCGCTGTTGGAGCCGCCACCGCCGTTTTGACCTCGTCCTCCGTCCTCTCTCCCTTCCCCTGCTGATGCGGGCCTCGGGCCGGCCTGGCCTGTTAAAAAGGCCGTGCTTTCTGGGCCGACGGGCCGTGCCTAGGCCGTCGGCTAGGCACGGTGGACTGGGGTGGCACGGCCCGGCGGCCCGTCGTGCTCTACCATGCCGTGCCTGGCACGGGCCCGTGCCGGGCCGGGCCGGGCGGCCAGAATGGCCATCTTTACCTGCGTCACATATATATCTTTCTCCACGTGGTACCACACACTGCACACTGCAGGTTCGACAACGTGCCTGCCTAGTAGGGCCTGTGTTATTTGGCTTGCTGCCTTTGGGTTTGTACAGGTAAACCAACGTAGTAAAGCCAAGATAGGTGGATTTTTCAAAAGCAGCCAAAGCTACCATATAATCGCCCTGTTCGCTTGGCTTATAAGCCATATTTTTTCAGCCAACGAACAGTATTTTTCTCTCACAACAAATCAGCCAATAGGCTCTGTTCGGCTGATACATAAGCCGGCTGATAAGCCGACTGAAGCTATTTTGTTGTGAGAGAAAAATACTGTAGATTCTAGCTGATAAGCCGGCTGATAAGTTCAAACGAACAGGGCAATAACGAGAGATAACAAGATAGTGGGAAACATGTTTTTTTGTCGTCACGCTTTTGTTAGTTGAGTTCTCAACTTTTGTCCACTAGAGCTCAAAAGAATTTCAAAGGTTTGGAATAGACAAAATTAATGTTGTAAATATATGGCATGGTAAACTATTGGTGTTTGAATATTTTAAATTCTAAACCTAGAATTTAAATTTTGCTCGAACATCTCTTGAGTTTCAATATTTGAAGCTTTTTTTAGATAATGAATATTTCAAGCTTTTAGTATCTCATAATGCATAATTTTCACTATTAACCAAGCACGGCTGCATATTAATAAAGAAATGAATGTTATATTTGAGACCATGTCGATGTTGTAAACGGCTAAACCATACACATTCAGATTGTTGTTTTATATAAACATACACATGCGGGATCAGCGGCAGCAGTCGTGAGGAACTGAGTTGGATTTTTAGGTAAAACTTACTTGTCCGAGTTCAAGTCTTCAAGTCCTTGTCTTGACGTGGATGTTCATATTATTTTTTTCTGAATTTATTTTAAAATTTAATGGTGTTATTTTTCAATAGTGATTAATATAAAAAATCAACAGTCAATAGAACAGAAGCTATATGCGCAGGCAACCAGGCACGCATGCATGTGAGGATCTGGAACTAGGAGAGACAAAGGTTATGCTCGAATAATTTATTCTTGTGCCCCAGATTGTCGAGAGCAAAGGGCAGCGTTTGCTTAGCACCGGGAACGGACAGTGCATGGGATTCTTGTCCTCAGATCCTCCTGCTTTCTTGGCAGGGTGTGAACCGTTTCCTTGTCCGGAGATTAAGATAAGAATCACATGGCTGGCAGTGACCCAAACTCCGCGTCGGTGCTTTGCTTCGCTTGTGCCAGATCCAGGTGACGGAACAAACGAACATTCGAATGTTGCAACTCCCAATCTGCTGCACGTTACCGAGTTACCTTAACGCGATCCAAGAACATGAATGTTTTGTTTTGAAAAAACTGAAAACTGTTGCAGATTTAAACAAGTTGATGAACAATATTGCGCATGATCGTCTACCGGCTTCGCCACTGCCACTCGAATTCTACAATAAATTAGCCCCGAATGGATGATCACCATCAAACTAATAATAAACCCACAATCGAAGTACGACGCAGATGGATTCGCGCGGCCGTGGCACGTCGCCGTCGCAATCAATTCGACCATGCATGCATGCCACCACGGACAAGACGAACAGATACGCGAAACGACGACACGCGCGCACGTCATGGATCCCAAGCAAAGCAGTGCCGGCTGATCTGTTTGCAAGCCTGAACAAGCCTACCCAGCTAGCTAGCTAACCGCGGCGGCGCTGGTAGGCGTCCGGCGTGGCGGCGGTCGGCTGCAGCCTGAGCTGCTCGTAGAACTTCCGTATGAAGTCGTCGGCCTCGGCGTCCACACGCTCGTTGGAGCACCCGTCCTCGGGCACGGCCGGGAACGGCGAGTCGGTGACGCGCAGCGGGCGGACCCCGGCGGGGCTGCGGCCCAGGATCCACGCCACCATGGGCGACGGCGTCGCGGTGGCCACCATGGGCGACGGCGCGACCGCGGGGGTGCCGCCCCCGGCGTCCACCTCGGCGCTGAGCATCTCGAACGCGCGCGCCACGGCCGCCGCGTCGAGGCCGCCGTACTGCTCGCCGCGCGCCCGGCCGCCACCGCCGCGGCCCTTGAAGGGGAAGAAGAGCCCCTGAGGGTACGACGGCGTGGTGGTGCAGCTGAACTCCACCTCCCGGGGTGGCCGTAGAACGAGGCGAGCGTGGAGGACGACGACGACGCGCGGGACGACGCGCCGCCGTAGTTGGTGAGGTGGTGGCCGTGGCGGCGGTGGTGGCTCGACGGGTTGTGCGCGAGGTGGCCGCGCAGCGTCCGCCCGACGAGCTTGCCGCGGCCCAGGAGGAGGTGGACGTCCATCATGATGCGCTTTGGGGACAGGCCGCGCCGCAGCATGTGGCACACGGCCAGCACCACGTGCCACAGACGCCGCGCCAGACCTGGCTCCATGGGCCGCCGCGCCGGGGTCGTCGCCAGATCCATGGCTACCTGCAGAACTCTAGCAAAGCACTAGCTTGCAAAGGCCGGATCAACGATGTGCCTGCACAATTGGCCTGCAGAGATCAATGCAATCTGGCAGGAAGAAGGAGATCACTGGGAGCTGCCAGAAGTTGTTCCTTGGAGAGACAGATGGAGGGGTTCATTAGCTAAATGATCTTGGCCAGGGATGGAATGGTTAGGTTGGGGAGGAGAGGGAGAGGTATTTAAGGGGGGGAAAGGTGGCAAGGGTCCCACAAAAAACACAACTTAATTTGAAAGGAAGGGTTAGTGTGCAATTACTTAGTAGTTATTTCCTGCTTTGATTTTATTTGTGGAGTTTCTTATATTAACCACTACTGTTACTATTAACACTGCCTCCATTAGTTCCCATTCAAGTTCTCAACGATGGAATAGTAGTTTGTAATGTAATACAAAGATTACACAGAAGTTAACTTTGGTGTTGAGTGTTCAGTTGTCTTTTGTGTTGAATTGCTAGGAGTAGTGACACCGATTGGTGCAGAGTATGAACAGCTAAAGATTGCTCCTTTAATTTGGTGGTGTGTGAAGTTGACACAAGAAATTTACATAGGTCGGTTGGTGGAACGGTTATTTTCCAAAGCCTTATAAGTCAAGTCCAAAAGGATCACTTTGAAAAAAAAAAACGTATAAATCACCACAACAAAGTTGGTGGAAGTTCATAGGAAATGGCGGCGGCAATTTACAGGGAGCAAGACTGACTAGGTCGAAAAAGAAAAGACCAAATTAGTTTTTACTTATATTTTTTTTCAAGAATATTCATGGTCATCGTTGGTTGTTTGGTGTTCGGTGTTGCTTTGCAAAGAGCCGAAGCCTCTTTAAATATAACAAGTCTATATAATTCACAAAAAAAAAGAAGTCTTTGACGGTCTAGTAAAATCACCATTTTGTTGACATAACCAGATATCGGCTAATTTTACCACCTACTAGGTCACCATATTACTGGAAATAATATTACACTATAGTGAAAATGTACATACAATTAAATCAAGCAGACAGATACTTAATTAATCATAATCAAAGCCTAAAAGCCTATGCCAAGGTGATCAACTTTCGCCCTACATATGTTTTATTACTGGTAAAAATAAATTAAACAAGCTAAGGTTGTGCTGGATGCTCCACAAATGGTTGCTCAGGACTGTCATACTATTTGTGTGTAATCAATAAAAACTCTCTTTTCCTCGAAAAATAATCAGAATCAAGATCTTCTGGTCTAGTCCCTTCCCTTGTAACTGTTCGTAAATGCATACTCCATCCATCCATTTTTATCTGTTATTCTCACTTCTCGAGAAGTTAAAAGTACTCAACTTTAACTAAATTTATATAAAAATATTAATATTTATGATACATAATTAGTATCGTTTGGATAGATCTTTGAGTCTATTTTCATAATAAATTTATTTGGAGATAAAATGTTGTTAATATTTTCTATAAATCTAATCAAATTTAAAAAAAAAAGTGACCGACTCGCATCCCATGGCGACACTTAAATAGGTACAGAGGGAGTATATGGGTGGAACGTTGTATATGTAAGTTCAATGTCTATACTATATTTAAAAAAGATTAAAAAAAAACATTCATGTGCTATAGCTACTTGCATGATTTTTTGAGTAAGACAAATCACACATGCATTTTTGTTCCTCCATCTCCTTAACAAGGCCAGGAAAATTAGGAAAGTTTCTAGGGATAGGAAAGTGAAGAAATGATTGTACTTTAACATACGCAATTTCATAAACAAACTGTCGCTTATACATAATATAATAAAAACCAATCTAAGATCGGCAAGCACTCCATCATACCTTCTCCAATACTGAAATACAGTACATAACTGGTCAAAAGACGATATACAAGACGCCTATTTCGTGTTCTGATGCTTACTAAAAGCTAAGCTGATATATTCCTTAGTGAGCAAGTGAGGAATTTCTTTAATGTAGTTTCTTTTCCTGCTTGGTTGTTGCACTTGTGTTCTTGTTGGCTTTGGCTAAAGGTGGTCATCGATTCAGCTCGGAGCTCAAGACTCAAGGAACATGGCTTTTCCACAGCAATGCTGATCGAGGTCACTTTTGGTTCAGGGAATAATATGGCTGTGTACATGGTCTTGTTAGCTAACAGGATCCAAAGTCCAAACAAACTTAAAGTAGACGCCTTACCCCCCACACTTCTTTTTCTTTTCTTTTTTCAGAAAAAAAACATCGTAGTTACTGAAAATCAGAAGTTTCTCTAAAGTAATTGCACGGTATTTTAGTGAAAATATCCTAACAGACTTCTAATATTTTCTGTGTTTTCCCGCTGTCCTATGACCCAATCGTGCTTAATTCCTATAGTCATGTCAAGCGGCGGATCCAGGAAATATTTTAGGGGGGGCTGAACAACACTGCTGCTCGATCTTAAGTCTCAGCCCCCCCTACACTATAGAATTTTGCCTAAAAATTCATAGGGGCTCTACAGTAATTTGCACTGATTCGGTATGGGTAGGGGGGGGGCTTGAGCCCCCCCCCCCCGCCCCACTGCTGGATCCGCCCCTGGTCATGTCATTCTGAACTCATTTAGCTGGAGCAGGTCAGATTCTTGAGGGCATAGTCTTCAATGTCTTAAGATGACGACAGTAATTTTAGTAGCAAATCACCCCAGTGCAAAACCGTTTGGAACAGAGGAATTCCATTATAAACATTTCAAATCCTATGAATATCTTGAAAAATTCCTACAAGCTCAATACATGTTTCATATTTTAGTTCGTATAGTAAATTGTTTCCCTCACTTTTTACTAGCCGAATTTCATAGATATAATATATATATATATATATATATGTCAAGTTTTTTAACTAAAGAATATATATAGGAAAAAGTAATGAAATATTAGTTTCCAATTAGTGCTTAAGAAGGTGCCTTAGTGCAAGGTCCAGTCTAGAATAACGTCAGGATATGCGATTAGGAGAATATAATATGTACAAGGGAAAAAGGCCTTAGTAGTCTAACCAAATACAAAATGTTTAGTCGAGGTTAAGGTCATCTTGTAGTTTATGGGATATGATTGTGATCATGATACTCATCATGACGTTATTGTAGCCCAATATTCAACTAAATATAGCTACTTTGATTACAATTCCAATAGTACATAGGTTGCACTAAGAACTGAAAAAATGGTCCTGAACAAGATGGTTATAATCTGAAGTAGAAAACAATTATGCAGTGCAGGAAAATACCTGTTTAATACTAGCAAACATTATTAATTGACTCAGAGACTGTTTACATTGCATCTGCTATATACATAATATACTATACACAACTTGCTGTACCAGAAATCAAGAACACAACAAAATCTAAATAATGTTACATCAGATTTCATCTAGATTTATATTAATTTATATGATCCATATTACGGATTGGAAAGACATAAAATTATATTATTGGGAGTTGGAGACTAAATGGCCAGATCAGATGTGGGGCATGTAGTAGGGTCTGGAGCGCAAGTGGCCGGGCTGGTGCTCCCCAAACATGGTGTCCCCTCTGATGGTGGTAGAAGTTAGATAAAAGACAACACACAAACAAAAGGCAAACCACAAACTCCACATTTATGAACTTTTTCCAAACCAGGCCCCTTTGCTTTGCTACCCTTGTGGCCAGCCCCTGTTTCGAGTAGGTAGATTGCACAATGTTTGGTATTATTTCATTTACTAATTACTATAGTTAGTGTGAAATGAAGAGGTGTTCAACTACAGCATGTGTGGTCTAGTCAAAATCCTCCACCAAGCATTGGCTTACCAGTTGGGTTGGATGTTTCAATTGTTCCTAAGTGTTTGTAAAAATAGCGAGTTCCGCCCTATAGTAAACGTGTTTGGTATCTTGACATCGATATGTACATTGGGGCTTATTTTGCATTGGGTAATTTATAATGAAGTTAAATGCATGCACGCCCTCAAACTTGTAATAGTGTGTCATTTAGGTCCACAAACTTTGAAAATACATTTCTGGGTTCGTAAACTTGTAAAGTGGTGCATTGCAGTTCCATACTAGCCACATGGGCGTTTCTTGCTGATGTGACATGGCAACATGCTATGCTTTTTCCATCTTTAACCCCTCTCTTTCCCTCTTCTCGCACGAATGAGTTCTTGTCTCCCTTTTCTCTCACGCCAACTCCAGCCCATCCAACGGCATGGTTGTCCACGGGCTGTAGTCGCCGTGAAAGAAGAGAGAAGCAAGGAGAAGAAATGATCTGTTCGTGAGAGAATAGGAAAGGAGAAGAAATGATCTATTCGTGAGAGAATAGGGAAGAGGAGCATTTAAATGTAGAAAAAATATGCCACGTTGGTATGCCACATCAGCGAAAAAATGCCCACATGACTGCTATGAACCTGTGGTGCACCATTTAACAAGTTTAGGCACCAAAAAATACATTTTTAAAGTTCATGGACCATCACAATTATGAAGAGGGTGTTCAAGGTGAACACTTGATTCAGCTAATAGCTAACCAGAGGTGTCATGTAGTGTTGTGTTGAGTGCCTTGTGCAACATGTCTCTTGTCTTGTGAATGTGCAGGTGTTGGGTCTTCTGTGGTGGTCAACATGCAATGGAGGAGGTCAAGTGAGGAGTCCATGCGCAAAGGACCGAGAGCGGTAAAGGGAAGACATGAAGTCTTGAATCTAATGAAGGACCAAGAGGCCGACGACGGACCATGGGTTGCTCGCATTGGGCACATGGAAGAGCTAGCAAACATGGGTGACGAAGACTTGGTCAACGGGAGTGAGGATGGGATTGGACCTAGTCAAGGCAAGACGTCGTGAGCACTTGGTGGAACGCTAGGCCGAGGACATGGAGGTTGGACACACATCAACATTGGTGAGTCACGCCTAGCGAACCATGCATGATGGTTTGCTGGTTTGCTCCTCATAACTGGGGATGGACGATTTGTTGGTTTGGGCCTTGAAACCATTGGA